CATACCCTCCTCTGAGGAAAAATAAAAATAAAAATTAAAAACCCACAGCAGCCACCCCGAAAATTTGCAACATTTTGGTACCAATTTCGAGACAATCGGTCCACAAATGCGGAAGTAGTTCGGGTACAGACAGACAGACAGACAGACGGACGGTGCTTATATATATAGATTTGAAAATCAACCCAGTTTTTCTTTTCTTTTTTTTAAGAATAGGACATAAGACGATGTCCTTAGTTTGACCTTGAATAGTTGCTTGAAGGTCACCTTCAGTTTTCTTAAATGGAGCCACCTATTTTTCATTGCATATTTTTGTAACTTATCTCGAAAACTTTCCAAATCCCTATAATAAAGTGTTTTTTTCATTATATTAAGTACTTTTTGAATTATAAAGATTTGAAATTAACAATTTTTTTACATAAAATAAAATATCTTGTAAAATATTCATTTTTGGTAATCATACCTTATGTCTCCCTGAAACCATACAACTTTTGTCTGAAACATTTTTCTACAATCAAAAATACAATTATTTGGGATTGGACATTAAAATAGGACACCCTATGAGACATTCAAATGGGACATGAGTGTCCTATTTTAAATAATGCATTTTAATATCTCTTCTTTAATTATCATAATAGATGAAAATGTTTTAGACAAAAGTTGTATTATATGAAGAGGAGTTACATGATGAAAATAGACTTAACTTTGAGTGACCTTTTCAAGGTCAGGTCAAAGTCACTTTAATTTTTCAAATGAAATCACCCACCCTATTTATATAAAAATGTAGTGACTTTATTTTAAGGTAAAGTTTAACGTTTTGTTTACATATATTTTACGCATTACTATGAATTTATTGTAATTACTTTATTGTAGTACACTTGATAAGTACCAAAACCCATGTCAAAACGTTGTGGTAATTATTAAATATTTATTAGCCAATATTGGTCGTAAAAATTATTTATCCTTTTCATTTGAAAAGTTAAAGTGACCTTGATCTGACCTTGAAAAAGTCAGTCAAGGTTAAGTCTATATTTTGATCATCATATACGAGTCGATATTGATATTAATGCGGATATATGACAATTAAATGCAAATATCGCCCACCGAGAAGTCGCAATAGTCCCGTGATGAAGGCCTTAGGGACTGCGAGACGCTGAAACAGTGGGAGATCAATCTAGCCCTCGCAGTCACGACGAGAAACCTAGTCGCCAGGGCGAGATCTGTCACAGCGCGTCCCGCCGTCTGTCTCGGCCACGTTGAAGAAGCCCGCTCAATCGCCATCGATGCGTCTGTCCGGCAAAGTTGATCGAGTCCACTTCAAATTCTCTGCGGAAAAAATTTTTTTCGCTCAGCCAAACTGACGGATACGACAGAAAGTTTCCAATTGACATCATCGCCAAAGCGCTTATCTTACAAAGTAATAGTTTATTAGTTTATTAGTTGTACAGGGTGTCCAGAATTAGCGGATCGTCCTAGATAGCAATAATAATTATTATGACGTCATTTTGACGTCAAAATATCATTTTGCTATTTAGAATTCTGATTTCTGGGATTCTTTGGAGAAGATTTTGAAATTAACCCTTGAATTAAAATTCTATTATAAAATCAATTTTATTTGAAATTAATTGAAGAATGTGTTTTGTTAATATTTAACTTCACAAGGCTTATTGATAGTTTGTAAAAACCCTTCATTTTCAATCGCTTATAATTCAAAAATTATTGGTTTCTTGATATTTTTGTTGAGGAAAAATCGTCTCTAAATGATCTTAAGAATCTGCCATTAACATCTTACTAATTCTAGGACACCCTGTAAAATATTTGTAATATACAATAAGTAAAGATAGCATACTTTTACATACCATATTACAAAACTTATTTACAAGCAATAAAACTCTATTTCCTAGTTTCCTAGTTTTTCAATTAAAATAGAATATTCTAATTTATCAAAGATATTTATTCGATAGGATTCTATACTGATATTAATTATCATTGATTGTTGAAGATTCGTTCTTCGGATCGAATCCTCGAGGACGATCGAATTTTCTAGAATGTTTTTTTGTTAAATTCCTTAGTGTTTACGCCAAGGAAACACGTGAAACCAACGTGTACACTCGCCGCTAATTGGCGTGTGTACATCGCCTGATTTTCCGATGGTCCAATCGAGGACCCCGATCGGCTGCCGCCCTACGCGAGCTCCGAAATTCGCGCAGCCCTCGAGTCAGTCCTCGAGAGAGCGAGCGCCGAGAAACCTAAGTCTAGGTACGCGACGAACTTGTAGAAAGTGAATAAACTAAATTAAACCGTTTCAAAACGCGTACAATTATTTGATCACGTTAACCCGGCATCCTACAACGTTAAATCTTATACATATAAAAATGGTCCTTCGAGCCGGATATTAAAAACCGATCGAGTGATAGTGAAATCGCGAAAGAACGGGCTCCTTCGTTTCGTACCTTATTCGAACAATTGACAATTTCTGCCTCGTGTGCCTATATCGGGGCAGTAAATTTAAAAACGCAGTGATCCGCGGCAAGAGAAATACGCTAATTACGCGTTCTCGTTTAGAGTAGAAAAACTCCGTGTGCGGGAGTGAGACCGCGCTACAAGACAACAAGCCGTCGCGCGCGCTCCGAAACAGTCTATCTCTCTCTCTCTCTCGCGCTCTCTCCAAGACGTGAAGAGCGAGAGAGACGGTATCACGCCGCGCGCTCCGAAGCTCTCTCGCTCGCTCTCTCTCTCTCTAGCTGCGGCTCTCTCGGCCGCGCGCCTGCCGTCGCTCCGGCCTAAGCCGCGGCGCTCCGGCCACGTGACGGTCACGCGCCCTCACGTACCCGGTGTACATCGAATTCTGCATTTGAGTAGACAGAATTTCGACGTTGAAGTGTCACTTGCAGTGCAAGCGCCGCTATCACGCGCTTTGCAATCTTGCATTCGGACGGCAGTTAAACGCCGTTCGAGATTAGTGACTGCACGTGTACTCGCTACTCGCGCTCAGTGACTCTCAACTCCGGCGCCGCTATCACGCGCCAGTGATTTTTAATTGAGTGCGGTGAACATACGCGAGTTATCCGCAAGCGCCGCAAGCACGCGCTTTGCGTTACGGTATTCGCAGTGACTCTCAATGATTAATCGTGACTCGTACTGATTAACAGTGACTCTCAGTGAACGTGCGCCGCTATCACGCGCACCGCACCGGTGAATCTTAACCAGTGCATTTTTCTCTCACTGACTTTTGACTCTCGCAGACCGAAGTGTAAACGACCGCGAACGCCGCTATCACGCGTACGCGTCGTGCATCTCTCTGTGACTCTCTCGATCATCTTGTGATTTTCGACGTTTCTAAACATTTAAAAAGTGCGCGACTCGCTATTTCGACGCCGCTATCACGCGTCCGCCGTCGTGCATCACTCTGTGCCTCTCTCGATTATCTTGTTGATTTTCGACGTTTCTAAACATTTAAAAAAGTGCGCGACTCGCTATTTCGACGCCGCTATCACGCGTCCGCGTCGTGCATATCTCTTGACTCTCTCGATCATCCCGGTGATTTTCGACGTTTCTAAGATTTAAAAACCACGCGATTTGCAATTTCGACGCCGCTATCACGCGCCACGCAATCGCTTCGTGTGAGAAAGACAGCCGATAACGGCTTAACGTGACGGTGCGCTAACTCGCGCTCGGACTCTCTCTCACTCTCTCTCTCCGCGTCAATCAGCGGGCGCTTCAAGTCCGCGCGCGCGCTTGAAGATTTCGCTTCAGTAGCGAATAATCGATAAACGATTCAACAATCCGGCATCGATAATCATGTCGACTGCCGTGAGTGACCTGCTCATCGAGCAGGGAGCTTGTATTGACGAGATCAAACGAGATCTCGTCAACTTCAAGAAGCTGGCCAAATCCAACGTGACACTCGCCAAGACGCGAAGTAGGCTTGCCAGTTGGAGGAGCACTGGGCCGCCTGCCGCGGCCTTCATGTCAACTGCTTCAAAAGACGACCACGGAGCAGCAAACGACCTTGCCGTATTTCACTCTGGAAGAGTTCCTGAGAGCTGAGGATGTCTACATCGACACGGCCGATCTGCTGCAAGATACGATAAGTCGATTATCTCCTAATACAATTCCGTTTACCGATCGTAGTTCCGATTCCTCCGTTCGCGAAACAAATAATCATTGCTTCCAATTGCCACGCATCGCGCTGCCAAAGTTTTCTGGGAAATTAACCGATTGGGAAAATTTCCGAAACATTTTTGAATCTCTCGTAGTAACTAACGACGCTCTTTCAAATTCTCAAAATTTCATTACTTAAAAACGAGCGTAACGGGAGACGCTTCCTTGCTGATCAATAATTTAAAATTTTCCGATGCGAATTACGAATCTGCCTGGCAATTGTTAACCAATGAATACGACGATAAGCAAGCGTTAATCTATGCTCATTTACACGCGTTTATTAGCCTTCCGGTAATGAAAAGCGAGATTGTCAGCGATTTGCGAAAATTGCGCGACACAGTGTCTGCATCGTTAGCCGCGTTAAAAAATCTCGATCGTCCCGTAGAACAATGGGACGACATTCTTGTTTATACAATAACGCAAAAGTTTAGCGCGAGAACACGTACCGAATGGAATTTAAGGCGAATCAAACGAAATGAGCCTTCTTCTTATCAGGAGCTTAATGAGTTTTTAACTCTCCGTATACGCGGATTGTCGGACTTTGCCGATTCAAGCAAGGACTCCGGTTTTTCGAAAAATGATAAACCGCGTTTAACAGTAAACAACGTGACTGCCTTTAAATGTATTTGTTGCTCCGGTGAGCATCACGTTTCGAAATGCGAAGACTACGCGAAGAAATCAGCTTCACAGCGCTTTGCTCTCGCGCGCCAGCATAAACTCTGCTTTAACTGCTTAAAGTCCGGACATTTCCCGTCGAAATGCCCGAGCAAATATCGGTGCAGACAATGTCGTCGCTCGCATCACACATTGCTGCATTCAGCGGCAAATCAAAATGCCTCCGATAACTTGGCCAGTTCCGAGGCTACTATCTCCGAATCAGCGTCACAAGCCGCATCTAATGCGACTACTAATCAAACGGTCAATACGATTGCGGCCGTCCAGATAGTACCCCCCTCGCTTCAGGAACATCCAAATGTCCTTTTGGCGACCGCATGGGTCGACCTCCACACCGGGGAGGGTCGCTGCTTAAGGTTCGCGCGTTGTTGGATCAAGGATCCACTTTTAGCTTTATATCAGAATCGCTCTCACAGGCGTTGCGCACTAAACGGCAACGAGCCGATTTACAAATTAAATGCTTCGGCGAAAAATACACGGGTACTGCGAAATCGCGCGTAAACTACAGTTAACCCCGTGTGCTCAAGCCGATCCGAGCTTTCCTCTGACGGCTTACATTTTTCAACGCATTACTTCATACGCTGCCTCGCGGATTCAGCCCTTCGATGCGTGGCCTCATTTACAGGGTCTATCTTTTGCTGACCCTGATCCTTCCAGTCAACATCAAATTCATTTGTTGATCGGTGCTGACCTTTACGGCTCGCTTCTGAAGCGCGATGTCCGTCAGGTCCTATTGGAACTCCGACAGCGCAATTGACCGCTCTCGGTTGGATCCTTTCCGGCCCCACAAATAGTAGGCCGACTACTACTGCTCAAGCATCTGTATTAAACTGCGTGTTGGAACAAAGCACGCACTCTCTTCTCCAGAAGTTCTGGGAAGATGAGGAGATCTCGCGGCCTGTCCCCCTCACGGAGGAGGAGAGGTGCGAGGCTCATTTCATCGCCAACCACTATCGTACCCCTCAGGGACGCTATGCGGTTCGATTGCCTTCAGGCATGATTTCCCGATAAAAATCGGTGATTCTTTGCACATTGCAACCTCGCTTTATAATAAAATGGAAGGAAAGCTACGGCTTCGTCCTGAACTTCACGCGCAGTACAACGAGTTCTTACGAGAGTACAATTCGCTCGGTCACATGAGGAAGGTGGAATTATCTGACCGCTCCGAGTTCGAGCCGGTATATATTCCTCATCATCCCGTTTTGCGCGACTCGAGTTGCACTACGAAATTGCGCGTTGTCTTCAACGCTTCGTGCAAAACGAGCAATAAGACTTCGCTTAACGATCACTTACTGATCGGTCAGAGACTGCAGCAAGACCTCTCCGCTATATTATTGCGCTGGCGTCAATGGCAATTTGTTTACACGGCGGACATTGCTCAAATGTTCCGCCAAATTCTCGTGCATCCGTCTGACGCGGATTTTCAAAGAATCTTATGGCGATCGTCGGCCGATGGGCCGATTGAACACTATCGCCTTCTCACTGTAACGTACGGGCTCGCCCCCGCTCCGTACCTCGCAATGAGGGTACTGAAACAGCTTTCTCTAGATGAAGGCGACAACTATCCCGCGGCCGTTCCAATTCTCAGCGAGTCCCTCTACGTGGACGATGCACTCTTTGGAGCGGACGATACGACTTCATTGATAGAAGCTCGTGTCCAACTAGTTGAGATCCTGCGAAAGGGAGGTTTTCAACTACGAAAGTGGGCTTCTAATGCCTCCTCTCTTCTTCAAGGACTTTCGGCTCATCAGCCGGAAGTCACCGATCATTTACTCGTAAAGGACGATAATCTCAAGGTTCTCGGGCTTTCATGGCTTGCTAAAGAGGACGCGTTCAAATTCGTGATAACTCCGTTGAGATCGGTTACGCACACGAAACGTTCCGTTCTCTCGTTCACGGCAAAATTATACGACCCACTAGGATGGGCTGCTCCGGTTGTTGTAACCGCGAAAATCTTGCTACAAGAATTATGGCTTCTCAAATGTGATTGGGACTCCCCTCTTCCAGAGGAGTTGCGCGATCGTTGGGAGAGCTACACCAACGATTTAGAATCATTGAACCGCGTCCGAATACCGCGTTGGACCGGTCGACATTCCAATAACCTCGCGTTCGAAATCCACGGGTTTGCCGACGCTTCAAACGCGCTTACGCGGCGGTCGTTTATATTCGAGTGCTTCCTTCGCCAACGAAGTTTCAAATCACTCTGCTCGCTGCTAAAACAAAGGTCGCGCCGATCAAAACCGTAAGCATCCCGCGCTTGGAACTGAACGCTATCGTCCTCCTCAGCCGGCTAATCAAGTGGACCTTGACATCATTGAAATTACCTCCGATTCCAATATACGGATGGACGGATTCGACCATCGCTCTCGCGTGGCTCCGTCAACATCCATCAAAATGGAGCACCTACGTGGCTAACCGCGTATCCGAGGTGCATACCGGTCTGGATTCCGTTTGTTGGAATCACGTTCCGTCTCGCGATAATCCGGCGGACTGTGCCTCGCGCGGCTTGACCGCCTCCGAGCTCGTGACTCACCCGCTATGGTGGAACGGTCCACGATGGCTTCAGAAACCATCAACTGCGTGGCCGATTCTGAATGTCTCAGCTCCGCTCGACTCTGTCACCGATCAGCAGGTGTCGGTGGAAAAGACGGCCTGTGACGCTCCATGTTCAAGAGGCCGAGGGTTGGGAACTCCCATATAGGTTTTCCACTTGGACCAAGCTTGTCCGCGTGACTGCCTATATGAATCGCTTTATTCATCGTGTAAAAGAAAAGAGCGCGTCTCGCTCCCAACAATCCCCCTTTCTGAACGCCGACGAGTTTAGGAGGGCGGAACTCTTCTGGTTGCGCTATCTGCAACGAGATTCTTCGAACGGGAAACGCGCTCACTAAAGAATAACGGCACCATACCGCATTCGAGCTCGTTGAGCAGATTGAGTCCTTTTCTAGGAGAGGACTCTTTACTCCGTCTTGGCGGGCGGTTGACGAATTCCGCGCTCAGCTATGACGAGCAACATCCTATAATAATTCCGAAACATCACTTATCCGATCTCTTAATTGATCGCGCTCATAAATCCACGCTCCACGGGGGAACACAGCTAGTACTCCGTGTGCTGCGTCAGCGATACTGGATCATTGGAGGCCGCAGCTCAGTAAAGGCGCACATTCGAAAATGTGTAGTCTGCACTCGTCAAGCGGCTAAATTGTCTTCTCAGTTCATGGGCGACCTTCCAGCCGCTCGTGTCACCCCTTCGGCGCCTTTTACTCATTGTGGGGTTGATTACGCCGGCCCACTCCACGTAATTTTATTCGTCGGCAGAGGGCAAAAGGCCAGAAAGGTATATATCGCTCTGTTTGTTTGTCTTGCTACAAGGGCGATTCACCTCGAATTAGTGGAAGATTACTCCACGCCCGGCTTTCTTGCAGCCTATCAGAGGTTCGCTAGCCGAAGAGGTCTGCCGCGTCACATGTATAGCGACAACGGCACAAATTTTCATGGAGCCAACCACGAACTCCATCGACACTTTCAATCCTTATCGAAGGATGCTGAATTGCGAAACGCGCTCGCAGGCGACGGAGTGAACTGGCATTTCATTCCCTCCGCCGCTCCACATTTCGGCGGCCTTTGGGAGGCCGGAGTCAAGAGCCTTAAAACGCATCTGAGGCGCGCTGTTGGTTCCCACACACTTTCGAGGGCTGAACTCGCGACGCTTCTATGTAAAATAGAAGCGTGCCTTAACTCGCGACCAATCGCTCCGCTTAGTGACGACCCGGGTGACTTGTCGGCGCTCACCCCGGGTCACTTTCTGATTGGACGGCCCCTCGTAGCCGTTCCGGAGGAATCGGTACTCGCGATCGACCCGCGTAGGCTCTCGCGATGGCAACTAGTCCGTGCCATGCAGGAAACCGTGTGGCGTGCCTGGTCACAGGATTATTTACATTCGCTTCAACAGCGAAACAAGTGGTGCAAGCAGTCTCCTAACTTCGCAATAGGCGAATTAGTATTAGTTAAAAGTCCCGTGCTCCCTCCGAGCAAATGGGAGCTTGCCCGAGTACAGCAGATCCATCCTGGATCTGATGGAGTCGTTCGAGTTGTGACCATACGCACCGCACGGTCCACATTGAAACGACCTATTGCGCAATTATGCCGACTGCCAATACGTGATAACTCTAACGCGTCCGCAACGGATAAAGCCGCTAACTTGTAAGAGTTATGTAATCTTCGAGACGACTTTCTCAGCGCGAGTCGTCTTCACCTGTATGTTTTGTAATCATCTTCCTCGACGATTCGTTCCCGCTTCGTTTAACTTTATTTCGCATTCGTTCGCATACGAGGCGGGCGGTATGTTGAAGATTCGTTCTTCGGATCGAATCCTCGAGGACGATCGAATTTTCTAGAATGTTTTTTGTTAAATTCCTTAGTGTTTACGCCAAGGAAACACGTGAAACCAACGTGTACACTCGCCGCTAATTGGCGTGTGTACATCGCCTGATTTTCCGATGGTCCAATCGAGGACCCCGATCGGCTGCCGCCCTACGCGAGCTCCGAAATTCGCGCAGCCCTCGAGTCAGTCCTCGAGAGAGCGTTCGCCGAGAAACCTAAGTCTAGGTACGCGACGAACTTGTAGAAAGTGAATAAACTAAATTAAACCGTTTCAAAACGCGTACAATTATTTGATCACGTTAACCCGGCATCCTACAACGTTAAATCTTATACATTGATTATATAGTAAAACTGGTTCTTTTCTTTTACAATAGTTTTACCAATCCTATTTTAATAGATATTGAATACTTATTGCTGAAAATATGGCTGTAACGAAATTCATAGAAGAGACTTCGAGAGAGGAAAAAAGTTTTGAAAGTTTGAATTTTAATTAAGATAATTTTTAAGATTATTTGAAGATCAACCCAGTTTTCTTTTATTTTTTTAAGAATAAGACTATTTTAGTAAAACTTAATAGAATATTATCTTAATTTTTTTATAAATCAATTCCTTGTAATATTCTGCATAAAAAGTTATAAAAGTAAGAAAACTAGAAAATAAATCGTTTGAAAGATATTATGTACTTTAATGTATAATATAATTATATACATAAACTATAAAATATTTCATAAAATATTTATTTTCTGATCAATTTTACCTCAATACTTTTATGCACAACATAATGAGAGAAATCAATTGTATAAAGAAAATACATAATTTAAAAAAAAGTATATTTAGTTTCTAACTAAAAGCTGCAATACAGCAACTTTGTTATCCCTTTTAACTTTTGTATAAAATATTTTCTCGTTACAATCCTAGTTTCAGTAATATTCCACCATATTAATTGAAGTAGAGTACCCTATAGTATATGTATTATGAGCTAAAAAATCTAATTGTAAACTAATAATAAAAACAACTAGGTACACATCAATTGAATGCGACAACTGATGTCAGATTCTCAATCTCTAGTTTCGATTACGCAAAAAAAGTATTATATAATAATTTATCTTCCTTTATTTCTAATTGTAAGCGTGAATGAGCATTTAAATTAAACCAATCAAAATGCGAATGGAGTATCATGCTGTAAATGCGAGAAATGTAGATGAGAAATTAATCGATTCTCGAATCGCCGGTCTATTTGGTCTTATTTGCTCAAACATATTTTTTTTATTCATGTTTTAAATATTGTCGCTAATGTGCAAACACACGTACCCGCATCTTCGAATGCTCTCCAATTGAGTGGCATTCAGCTTCTTCGGCTTTCCATATTTATCCTTGTGTAAGCTTTACAGAAATCGTTAGAGCATATCATCAGACACATACACATACACGCAGAGAAGAAGCACAAGGATCGCTTTATTTATCCGGCACAGGGAAAGAAACTTCTGCGTATCTCATTCATTGAAAACGCAAGCGAGACGAGTACTATTAATATAAAATTCACGTTTGCTTATTTTGTTTTTGAATGTCGTCAAATCAACAGATTTGTCCCGATACGGATTTTATATATGTATATTTATTTATTTATTTACCATTACACTATGCGATATCTTTTTCTACTGTCTATAAATCTACTGTTGCTAAGCGATGTAATGTAATACACTAGTTTACAGCCAAAAATTATTTTAAACCACACAAAGTGTTTCTTGTAAATTTTTGGAAACGTCAAATTTCCAAAATAATTGAGATTTAATATGTAAAAATTGGCTTTTTTGCGTTATTTTGACGCCTAATGACGCCAGTTTGCTACTTGAGAATGTTTAAGATTTTTTTGTAAAATTTAATTAACATTATCTGAAAAGATAAAATATCATAAATTGTATTGTTTATCCTCTACAATGCATTTTTAAAATTCCAATATCTTACTTTTTAGCTATGTTATGAAAGATTAAAGCTGAAGACTACTTCTCACATTTATATGGAGATACTTCTGAAGGTTTCTTTGGAAAAAAAATATTTACCATTATTTGTCCTCCTTTAGATCATACAACTTTTGTCTGGAGAATTTTTTTCGAAAATGCACAGCCACGTTAGATTGTAACGTCAGAGGCGAGAAAGCATGCGCTGAAAATTCTGTCATTTTTAAATGAGAATTTATTTTTAAAAGTTTGTTAAAACTATCTGAAGTGCTGTTTCATCGAAATATTATCTTTTTATTTAGAAAGGGTATTTAAGAATTTTTTGCGTGTCTTTTTTCGCTTCTGACGTCATAAATCCAATATGGTCGGCGAGGAGCCCTTTAAACTACAAATTATGAATATAAATTATATGACTGCATCATTGTAGGCGGAATATTTGCTATCTCAGCAAAACTCTGCATTTAAATCTTTCCTAACATGATTGAAAAGTAAGATATCGAAATAAAAAATGCATTTTATATACAGTAAAAAAATTTGTAGTCTCTTGTTAAAAATGGTCTCTGTTAAAATTCTTGTATTAAATATTTAACACATTCATATGTTAATTTAATATATTGCTGTTGTGTTAACTAAACTTAAATGTTAAATTATTAAAACAACTAAAAAAAAATGTAAAAATAACACAATGTGCATCTATTTTTAATTTTGCACAATAAATATGTTCTGGTTTATTAGTAACAAGATTTATTTGTTAAAAAATTTACAGAAAAAATGTTAATTTTATTTTATAAGTAGGGAAAATAGAATGTAAAATTAACATTTTTTTTAGTTAATTTTTAATTTAACATCAAATTTATTTTAAATTACTTGAAGTTTTGCATTTATTTTATGTTAAAATATTAACACAGTATTCGTGTCTCCATTTAACATATATCCATATTATGTTAAATAAATTAATACAAAAATTTCTGTGAACCATTTGAGACATGTAACATTTGTTAAATTTAACACAAATTTTTCAACTGTGTAGGGAATAAACAATACATTCAATATTTATGATAGATTTTCCTTTTTCACACAAAAAAATCTCATATAGCAAAAAATCATTTTTTGCATATTAAACCTCAATTATTTCGGAAATCTGACATGCTGATGAAAACTGGATTTGCGGCATCGTTTTCAGTATCCAAACATCTATAAGAAACACCTTGCCTGATTTAAAATAATGAAAAAAAATATATTTTGTAAACTAGTGTAATTATACAAGATTACGACTAACTAATACAATCGTTAAAGGAGTAAGAATAAAAGAAAATTATAAGGTATCTATATAAGACTAACCCTCGTTCCCTGATGCTTTCCAGCTGTTTGTTGGTCAGTCTTCTGGGCTCGCCCTTGCTGTCGACAGCTACGGCGTCCAACTCGTCGAAGCTGGGCGCCACAAAAAGGTCCCTCAGATGGTACTTCTTTCGCGCCAACGTGTCCTCGCCTTCCGTGCACGAGGACAATGACGGTGGCAGAACGATGGGGAAGGTTCGCCAGTGATAGAGAAATTGTTGGGCCACCTCCTTGATGTTGTGCACCAACGTCTCGACCTCCGCTGGAGCACCTCGCAAGTGCGAAATGTCGAATTCCACCGGTTCTTTCTGAAAAATAACCATTTAATATACATATAATAAAAATATAGATATAATAGATAGAATAGAGAGAAACAAAAGTGTTTTCATTTATTTTTAATTTATAGATCATATTTTATTTAAATTTTATTTTGCTTTCTTATTTTGCACATACGTTCAAATTTTATTACGTTATGATTTTAAAATAGAATGATGAGGAAGTAATGTGCAAGTTTCCAATTTGCACACTTTTCTTTCTTGTTGCTTTTTCATAGAGGAAGCTATGTTTTCATGAAAAAATTTTTTTTTTTATTTCTATGCCAATGTGTTCAAAATATCGAAAAATCACATTTTTAAAAAAATGTCCATATGTATGTGTATGTATGTGCCACTTATTTTTTTTTTAATTTAAATATCTCAAAAAGTATTTTACTAACAACGCTCTTGACATACAAGTAAAGCAATACAACGCTATTATTTACTGTCATTTTTATAAAAATTCGTAGTGTTTTAAATTTTAATGCAATTTGAATTTTTCAAAAATGTTGGTGATTGCTCTGACTTCCATAAATTTCAAGATATCGGGCTAAATTTGTTTATATAAATAGGCTACCGTTAAAGGATGGTTGGTATTGAGTTTGAGGAGAATTGGTGAAAAGGTTTGTTTTTTAATTTTAAATTTTATGAAAATTGATTGCATTAACTTCCATAAATTTTAAGAAATCATGATAAATTTTTTTATATTAATTATTATTAAAAGATGATTAGTATTGAGTCTGAAGACAATCGGTGAAAGGGATTATTTTTTATTTTGAATTTTTTGAAAATTGTAATTGCATAATTTCCATAAATGTTAATATATCGTGATAATTTCTTTTATATTAACAGATTATGATTAAAGGATAATTGCTACTGAATTTGACGAAAATCGGTAAAAGGGTTCATTTTTTTGAAAAATTTTTAATTTGGAACATTAAGAATAAAATATCATTAAAGAATTATTGAATTTGGTGTGAATTGGAAAATGTGAATTTCTTTCAATTGTAAATTTTCGAATTTTGAAATATTATGAACACGTTACGTAGAAATCTTAAATAAATTTTTCACGAAAAAAATTTTGCAAATTGGAAATTGTACATTGCTTCCTCACCATTTCATTTTGCTTATTAAGATGGTTTTTCAATTATTCTCATAGAGGAGGCTAAATTTGCACATTGTTTTCACGTCATTTTATTTTGTGCAAGTTAAGCTTCCTCTGTAAGGAAGCCATAATTGAAAAACCATCTTAAGAAGATGCTGGAGTGACGGCTGAACTTCGATAGATTAGCACCATACATAACCGTACATATACACACATATGCGTATACACATATACCGGGTGTCTCAGATCACCCGTACACTTCTTTTCTTTCAAACACTAAGCATTTTAAAAAAAACGTTTTAGATAAAAATTGTATGGTTTCGAAGGGACATAAAATAATGCCATTGATTTATTGACTTTGGAAAGTCATTTGAAGGTCACGTGAATAACATGTGAATGCTTAGAATTCATAATTCTGTAACCAAGATGTATATGAAGCTATACAGATTGATAAATCTTTTTCCTGTACAAATTAAAGTATTAATATTAACAAAGGAGGAAGCGTTCTAATTTCAGGTAAAAAACAATCCATATAGCCAATAAATAGATTTATAGTTTATTTAACCTCATATTTTGTCGATAAGAAAGGAAAAAAACAACTGACTTTTCAAGTCACTCCAGCATCCCTTACACAATTTTTTTACATTACCTCGGGTTGGAGTCCATCTGTATTCTCTCGATGGTGCGGCTGCTGAGGATAGGCTTGATGATTCGGTCCTGTGTTGGCGGAATTGGCGGAAACTGAGTTTAGATTGTGGGGCATCTCGCGCGTGAAAAGCGTGCGCGGCGGCTGGGGTCAGCTGCCCCGTATACCAACTATCTCCTCATATACCATGCTGCTGGTGGCCACCATTTATCATTCTACACTGCAAACCAAACGCGCGAGAAATCGTTTGAATCACGTTGAGAGCTAAAAAAATGATCTTTCTAATTCAAATTTATAACCTAGACAGCACCATCTCCAAAATTGTTGCACAAAACATCTTTAAGATGTTTTTAAGGTGTCTTTGGAATATCACATCATAAGATTTCTTGAAGATTTCTTAATAATGTTTTATGCACCAATTTTGAACATAGTGCTATCTGGGCAGCCTATCTCTAAAAAAGGCAGTTTTCCAAATATAAAATGGAAATATAAAAACTCCCCGTTTTGCTATTTTGGTGTTTTACTTTAATATATATATACATGGTTCATTATAAAAGTAATGCGCATTTTCTAAGAAAAATATATTTATTGATCGTACCGGTACAAATGCTTAAAATTCTTCAAAATACGCTCCCCCAGCATCAATACACTTGCGGAGACGTGTCTACCATGCCTGGAAGGCACTCTGAAACTCCTCGACGGGAATGTCTCTTAGGAACGTTGTAACATGCTTTTGGATGTTTTCCACGGACTCCCAATGCCACACGACCTTCATCGTTACCAATTTCCTGGCTCGGAGCAACACTCCGGTGATCCCCCAGCCTCCTTACAGTCCCGACTTGGCTCCGTGCGACTTTTTTTTGTTTCCCCGACTGAAGAAAGAGCTGAAAGGAAAGCATTGGGAGTCCGTGTAAAACATCCAAAAGCATGTTACAACGTTCCTATAAGAGACATTCCCGTCGAGGAGTTTCAGGGTACCTTCCAGGCATGGCAGACACGTCTCCGCAAGTGTATTGATGCTGGGGGAGAGTATTTTGAAGAATTTTAAGCATTTACACCGGTACGATCAATAAATATATTTTTCTTAGAAAATGCACATTACTTTTATAATAGACCATGTATATCTTATATATATATATATATATTTTAATTTATATATGTAATGTTACTATACTACAATTTTGTGTTTTAATTGGTATTTACATACACCAATTAAAACACAAAATTGTAGTATAGTAACATTACATATATAAATTAAAATAAAATATTTAAAATACATAAAAGATCCAATATGGAATTTGGAATTATTCTCTTTTTCATCACAGCGATCAAAGCCACGTGCAACGAGAAAAGTCTGGACAGAATGCATATAGAGTTTTATAGGAACGATAAAAATATCCGGGAGCGAAGCGGAATGCACGAGAGACGCCGCGTATGCACATGGATACTCGGCTTTGGCTGAATGTGCGAGACCTATTAACCGATTATGTTTCATTAAACGTTTAAGATTCTTAACATTCCGTTCTTCTTTACTCGCTGTATGTTTCAAATTAAACGTCCGCTCTCATGCGCTTTATGTCGCGTCGCCTGTTTTATACCTCATCTCATCTGTAACAGTTAACAGTTTACAAAAATTTTTTTTAAATATTTTAAACCAGACTGAGTGTTTCTTATAGATTTTTGTATGCTGAAACGATAGCGTAAGCCAATTTTTATCAGCATGTCAGGTTTTATAAATAATTGAGATTTAATATGCAAAAATTACATTTTTTGCAATATTTGAAAGGATCCTGCACCAAATACATAGAATTTTGACTTTGGATGGAATTGACTGCTTTTTTCATAAACTACACAACATATGAGAAAACCAGCTGATCTTACCAAGATACAATTTTATGCAGAATGTGGCATTTTTGATATATAAAATCCTAGATAAAATTAAATCCCAATAAAATTAACTGGTTTTCTCATATGTTGTAACTTATGATCTGTTGAACAAAAAATGTAACAGTCTCAAAACTAAATAATAGACAGTTACTGGTTTACAGTCAAACTCAAAAAACTCGGACTCTGCCAATTATTTGACTAGCTGTTACTCAGTAGCCATCCAATATTTAGCTTTAAGAATATATTTTGTTCTTAAGACATCTTTTATTCAGCAAGTCATAAGTTATAACTAGGAAAAATGCAGCAAATTCTATAAAAAACTAAAATCCTATGTATTTGAAGCGGAGTTCTTTTTGTGAAAAAAGTTAACATTATCTAGAAATTCTGATTAGATGTCATGAATGTATTGTTCATCATCTCTATAAAATGCATTTTTAAATTTCGGTATCTTACTTTTTAGTCATGTTAGGGAAGATTTAAGTACAGAGTTTTGTTGAGATAGCTAATATTCCACTTTTGACGATGAAGTCATAATTATATTCATAATTTGTAGTTTAGGCTATCGATACACATACAATGTAACTTATTGTGATAGATTCCATTAAATGTATATAGGGGATGTTTCGTTTTAATTACTTGAATTTTTCGAACAAGTGCATTTTCGAAAAAATATCCCAGACAAAAGCTGTATGATCTAAAGAGGAACAAATAAAAGTAAAATCAATTTTGGAAAAAAATGATTCTTTTCCAAAATCTTTTTTCCTTCTAAAAGTATCTCCATATGAGAAATACATATAATTTCACAACTTAATCTTTCATCATAACATATGGCTAAAAAATAAAATTGAAATAAAAAACAATGTATACTTCCATAATGCATATCCCTTTTATGTAAGGGATAAAGAATATTCATTTATGATATTTGATCAGATCTTTTCCGATAACGTTAACCTTTTTTACACAAAATTTCAAATATCGCAAAAATAGCCATTTTTATACATTAAACCTCAATTATTTTGGAAATCTGACGTGCTTGTAAAATTTGATTTACGGCATCATTTATTTCAGCACCCAAAAATCTATAAGGAACATTTTTATTTAAAATAATGATTGGCTGTAAACTAGTGTAATGATACAGCGCTCTTATTATAAATTGTTCAGCACGAGCATGAAAATTTGTAAACTATTTCGAAAACCATGACACAAGAGCAGGCTAAAAAAGAGTGGCTAATAAAAAGTTCCACCTATTTCTGTTAATTAAGAGCACAATCGCGAAATATCGCGAGCGCCATTTATTTTCATGCGATACGCGAGCTCTTCGATCGAAATTATTTCTACAGCACTTGACCCCAGTATACATTTAGTATCCGCAGGCGCGACGTGTTTTCGAAGGGATAAAATAAAACCCGCTCTCTCCAAACTTGTTTCACCGTGTCCGTCCTTATTAGTTTCGTAAGAATCATATACTTAAAAGTGATAAAAATGAAAATTTTAATAGACAGACATCTGGTAGAGTTATCATTAATTCGAAGAGTTATAAATATATATATATGTATGTATATATACACATATATCGCGTGATAGCTACACATTATACATATTATATATATCACGATCGTAGATAAATATTACTAAATAATATATTATATATGTTTATATTTTTCATATTTCGTAATCTCTCTTTATTTTTTACAACGCATCAGGAATATACGTATGCAAAAAATAAAATATATTTAAAATCAATTAATTTTTTCCCGCCATTTTGGATATATGTGGTCCTGACATATTGAAGGTTATATGACGAAAGTTTAGAATTTATAGTGTACATCAAAATTTAATAGCAGTTCAATAAGCAATATTTCCAATACCATTATATAATTTTTCTTATCTTAAATGAAGAGGGGAATAAAATGCGATAAAGATAATTTAATTTTTTTTCACAGCCGAGAAAACATTTTTTCTCTCGAACAGAGCCGAAGAACGCCTGCATGGATAGAGAATACCTATCAGAAGTGGCACTCAAAACGCGAAGAAATATTCGCAATATTCGGATGTGTTTCAAGCATCATGTCGACAGTTCGCAAGCTCTGCCTTTTGACCTAATTCGAAGAGCTGTCGTAACCTTAAAAACAAACGGTCAGGATATCGCGCAGCCGATCCGATCGCTTTTAAATGCGGTACCCACGTCACGCGTGATTGCATGTGATGATTTCATGCGCGATGCACAATTTCCGAGGGAACCCAACAGTGATTTCTTTAGCTCCGCTATAAGCGTTTATTATTGAACGCCGCAAAATCAATGCGATAAAAAACGTGGATTACACTGGAGCCAAAAATTACTTTAAACCAGACAAAGTGTTTCTCATTGATTTTTGAGGACTGAAAACAATGCAAGCCAAATTTCACTAGCACGTCAGGTTTCCAAAATAATTGAGGTTTAATATACAAAAAATGGCTTTTTTGTGATATTTGAGATTTTGTTTGTAAAAACAGATTAACACGTGAAAGGAAAGTCATCAAATATTATGAATGTATTGTTCATCCCCTATAAAATGCTTTCTTATATCTTACTTTTTAATCATATTATAAAAAATTAAAGCTGAGAATTACTCATATATCAAACACAATGTTGTCATTCTTTATTTTTGACTTATTTTTGATTTCGTCAATTATTCTCCAAAGGGCATGATTTATAATGCATTCTATTTTCCTATTATTATTATAAAAAAATTATAAAAAATATTTTTATAAAAAAAAGTATTAAAGATGATTCGCTTCTGTAAAAAAATTGACACAAGAAAAGAGATGATTTTATTTACGAAAGGTGCGTAGTAACAAGCATGTGTTGCTGCTGCATCAACTGTTATCGTAGGATAAGAACGTTTAAACGGAATGAATAGGTGCCATTCATAGATTCGAAACGTCTAAGCGTATAAATGTCGCAGAGGAATGTCGTGTATGATTGCTCCCTACAATTCTATATACAGAGTTATATATGTACTTATTTGTTGGATTTACTTTAATGTATACCCCGCATGTCTGAAAACATCACAGTGAATAAATTATTTTGTATACTCTCAATAATTATGGTATTCTTTTCTTTTCACAGAAAACATCGCACATTTTAAGAATTTCACCATTTATTTTTAGAATATTCTATTTTAAAGTAAATGTCAAACGGATCTAACAGAAATTTCTAATTTATAAAACTGTATATCAAATAAGATTTCTTTTATATTAATTATACTTTTTGCTGTATATTTTATTTTTTAATTTTTACGTTTTAATTATATAATATAATTTTATTATAAGTTAAATTATATATATATAATT